GAGCTGGTGCTTTGCGCCCCCGGCCCAGACTCGGCCAGCATTTGAGATCAGGCGCTCAATTACTAATAAAGCGCTCATTTTCAGAGAGCAGCGCCACCTCATCCCACATGTCATACCCAAGCCACCATTTGAAAACCCCGCTGCCATCCGCCGCAAGCGCCGCCTCCTATCAACCGGATCGCTCTTGCAATTCGTTGAGGAGGTTGGCCAGGCGTTGCGGGCGCACCCGCAGTTTGCTGCCCGCCATGGGGGTCCTCACGCGCAAGCGAGCGGCTGGGACGGTCGAGGAGCCTGCACCACATTCGTCCGCAAAGCGATCACGCACTGCCCAGGCCCCGCCTGCGGCCGCCTCTCCCAGCGAGGGGTCCCCGCAAGGCCGCCGCGAGGCAGGCTCCCCTGCGCCCAATCAGGCCAAGCAGAGCGAACTGATTGCACTGAAGAAAGGTGGGTTGGCGGCGTAGCCATCCGATGCCGCCCACTTGCCCACTCCCGCCCCAGTTCCGCCGCCGCACTGCTGCCGCCGCCGCCACCGCACCTCCACTCCTCTGTCCTCTTGCCCTCCCCTGTTTTCCTTGCAGGCAGCCGTGGCGCAGCATTCCTGGCTGCCGCTGGCATCGCGGTGCCACCATCCGCCTCACCTCTGCCAGGCGCCGCCTCCCCTCCCAAGCTGTCCACAAAGAAAGCCAGCGCAGCCAAAGCGGCGCGCCTGGTGGCAGGCGATGCGCCTGCCCCGCTCGCGGCGCCGCGCTCCGCGGCCAAGCCCCGCAACCCGCTGCTGGGGCAGGAGCTGCCCAGGAAGCTGGCGGCCCTGCTGGACATGTTTGGTGAGCGTGCGGGCTGGTGCGGTGAATGCGGTGAATGTGGGGAGCTGGCTCTCAGGGCTCGGTGTGGCGTGGGCCGGGCAGCGGATGCCGCCAGCCCGCGGCGCGCCTGCGAGCCCCTCTCTTCTTTCCCTGCCCACCTGCCCACCCGACTGCCCGCCCTCCCGCCCGCCTGCAGCCGGGCTGCAAACGGTGTATGAGATGATGCGGCGGCGCGGGCAGCGCACCACCTACCAGCACATGCGGCAGGCGGTGGAGGAGGCCAGCGGGCGGCGCTTCCTGGTGCGCCGCCGCCGCTGCCAGCGCTGCGCTTTCCCTGCCATGCAACGACCGCCGGCCCGCGGCGCCATCCCTGGCCCACCCCCTCCCGCCGCGCCCCGCCTGCCCACGCTCCCCGCAGATGGCGCACGTGGCGCAGCTGCAGCACCTGCTGCCCGAGGCGCTGGTGGTGGAGTGGGTGCGCCTGCCTGTGGCGGCACACAGCAGCCGCACAGAGCCACACCTCCTGCTCAGCCTGGACGGGCCAGCGGCGGCGCGCGCGGCGGCCGACGCGGGCGCCGCGGCGCCCGGCAGCGGCGAGATGCGGGCGGCTCGTGACCTGGTGCAGTGC